GTGTGGCGGGGGACGTTTAAGCCCCCCGCTGGCGCCCCCCTCCCCGGGTGGCGCCACCCCTGTTTCGAATCCAAATAAAAAATAGGGCCAGGGCCTAGCCTACAGAGAAATATAAAAAAAGACTAGATTCAGGACGACCCAATTAATCCAAAACAGATGGATTATTTTCCATTGGGGTCCAGCCATGAAGTTACATTACACTGGGCTTTAATTCGAGGTTTTCAATATTTCTAGCCCTGTCTCTTATACACATCTAGATGTGTATAAGAGACAGTTCATACTCATGGACCAAATATTTGTTGCTGCACATTATTTAACATTGCAAAAAAAAACAAAAAACCATAGAACTCTTCTTAAACATGCACTGCTAATCAATACAGTAGAATATGATCATTACACCTTAAAATTGCCAAAAATGGCACTCTCGAGACTTAACTTTGAATATAATTTTCTTATTTGCTCCATTTAAAAAAAATAAATAAAAAATTAGGGCACTAGTACTGAATGTCTGTACTCCAGCAGTACAATGTTTTGCTATGAATTTACCTTCTATTTTTCTCAGTCTTGTTTTCATTTACCAAAGTGCAAATATCCAAAAATTGATGAGATCACCTGAAGACACTCTTATCGTCTCAAGTCCTTCTTCCTCCAAACTCATTTTAACTGAATTGATTTCTGTCATGACATTTTCCTTTAAATTTATCGCTTCCCTTTGAGTTGTATCAGCAGGACAAAGGAGTTGACCAGGAGTTAACTTACAAGCTTTTTCTTGACCATAGTACTCCCGGTATTTGCTTGTTACAATGTCTCATAGTTTGAAGCTTGTGTCTGGCTGCCAATCCAGACGGCTCACTGCTAGCTTCCTCTTATTACTGTTCCATCGTCGAATCTTAATCTGTGCTTTTTCAAATTCTATTCGCTTTTTTTTCTCAACAAGCCAGGCTTCAAGTTTTTCTCTAATAAAGACAAAATATGGCACCAATCAATGTAAAGATTTTTATTATTTTTTTTTTATTATGGTATCTATCAGTAATAATTCATTTCCCCCTTTACCATGCTATATGTTTAGATATAAAAGTAGATTGTGTTAGTTCATTAAAACACAAAAGTACATGAAAATAAGCTTGTTATTGATTTGTCAGGCACTTTTGTATTCTTTACCATAAAAAAAGACTTACACAACAACAGCGCATATTTTAACACTTTTTTTTATAGTTTTCACAAAGTAACACAATCAATTTTCATTGTCTGTAATGTGAGTGACATACTATTAACAAATTTGAATACAGTATTAGTTAATATTCAAATACAATAGGTATATTGCCTACCTCATGGTTAGATCGGAGCTTGTCTCTTTGCGTTGATGAACATCCTGTTGTTTTGACCGTAGAGCTAGTACAGACCTTTGTCCCTGTGCTGACCTATCCTCCTGTTTTGACCTTTGTTTCCTCCTTGAACTTGGAACGCTTCTTGACATTTGACCTTTTTGTTGTGTTTTAAAACTACTCAATTCTTTGCCGCAAGGTAGCTTTTTCCTATCAGTTGGTTGCCTTCTGGTTTGTGGTGTCCTGTTTGTCTTCTGCATCCTCCATTGTTCCAATCTCGCCTCCATAATCTCTACAAATTTTAACCAGCTTCTTAATTTGTTATCATATTTTTTTTTATTAATGCATTGATTTAATGTAAGGGCATACTTCTCACTTATGCTGTTTCACAATACAGTAGAACCCTTCCTTTGGGACACCCCTATAAGGAGAAGCATTTTTGGACCACAAAATGAAGGTAAAGTACATAAAACACAGCCAAACCCTATTAGGGGACAGCACCTCTATTGGACATCCTAGTAAGGGGACACTTTTATTTTGGATCTTCTTCTGTAGTACAAACAAAATATTACCATGTATTGTTGATTTATTCAAAAAACAATTTCATAAGTAGTTAATAAAACAATACAATAAATCACTGGCAAACAGTGACTTGAAGTATTAAATCATTTACAACACAGTGAAGAATTCCTAATTTCTCAAAATCATTTAAAGATGAAAAGAGAAAGAAAATTTTAATCAAACTTAGGTCATGAGTGCCATTTGCAGCCATCTAGAGGTGCATAACCATGATACTGTAAAAGGTTTTTAATTGCGCAGAGGATATCTACAAAATCAGCTCAAATTTGCACGGAAATTCGCTGGGAAAATAGGTGCGCTGAATCTTAATTGCTGCACAATTGCATTGGTTATATATTAAGATTTGGTCAAAGCCTAATTTTCGGCAAAATATGCATGGAAATCGGCCCTTATTTTTCAAAATGCACGGACAGACTTCTAGGCAAAATTTTGTGCCGAAGATATATTCCCCACGAGTCTGGTAACCACAAATGTTCTTGCTTCAGCATTAATCTGCACCTTCTTTCCAGGGGGTTATACTGTATGTTCTGACTATTGCATCATACAGTATAACTAACAGCTGCATAATGAGCATCCTTTCATTAGTGGAAACAAATTTGTCCAACATAGTAACAAAATAATTTAGAGACTTGGAAGGCTTCTTTAATCAATATTTAATACATCTTTGCTTTTATAATTGATTCCAAAAATGAATATACATACATACAGTATATCTAGGCCTACTGTAAAACCTTGAATTGAAACCCTGGGCTTCATTTCTTTACGAACTTTGCATGGGCTTTCTTGGATTGGATTGGATTTATTCGGTGTAAAGGATAGCCCATGAAAGTCTAAGACTTATTTCCAGCGGGGTCCTTCTGGTGGTGATTGGGCAGTACACCGGGAGATAATCAACTACTGTTTTCCGAAGAGTGTACTGCGTACTTTAACGTGCACATGGGCCATAATGCACATGTAACCAATGGCTTAAACGTCTCATCCGAAAGACAGTGCGCTACTTTTAACTTGTATTTCAGCCTTCCAGCTGAAACACAAGGAGAGGCAGCGATGGGAATTGAAACTGGGGACCTAGAGATCTTCACGGTTCAGTGCACACACAGTGGTTACCACCAGATTAGCTGAATGAGCTAAGCTGCTCTATCTTTTCGAGATGGGCTTCTTTTCGAGGCTACTTTTGCAAAGTACAGTAAAGGTGGAGGGGGGGGGGCTTCTTTTCAAAATTAATGCTGTAAATTTTGTGAATTTGTACTACTGTATAAAACAATAAATAAGGCAACTGTAACATCAATCTGCATCATGGAGTGAACTGGCATTAAATCACTAAACTATACTGGAAACCAAGCTTGTATTCAATTTATTTTGCTTTCTGAACTTCATGTACAGTGTCCCGCCTTAGGCGTGGCCCTGCTTGTTCCATGCTGGATCAAAAACTAGTAGAGGGTCAAATGTCCAGCCATTTTGATGGTCAAAGACAAAATACAGGGGCATTATTATTACTGTACATTATAAAAGACTGATGAACAAGATAGTCTATTATCTGTCTCTTATACACATCTAGATGTGTATAAGAGACAAACTTTAGATATTCCAATGTAAATTTGGCCGTTCTTTTCATTTATATGGGTTTTCACTTATGAAAATGTCTCAATTATGTGTAAAATAACGATTTGCCCCAGTTTTTATTTCGGAAATTTGCACTAGTAAGGGAGTCAGCTGATTCACTCAACCGTAACGAGCTGGTAACGACATTAGCCAACTGATGAGAATGGTCGTCGCGGGCGGAAAATTGAAAAATTAGGACTGGCGAAAATATTCAATAATAATAGTAAAATAAGTCGAAGGCATTTTTGAAGAATGAATCTTTCAAAAAGATATGTTTGCTGGTATGGATAAGGAAGTCTTGGAAGTGGTGATCTTATAGTGGCGTTAAATAGGTTTGTTTAATACCAACTTGTCTTACCTGTGTAGGCATAGCCTAGCATTTAGTGCAGTACTGCTGAGTACTGTATGTATGTTGAGAATACGGAATACTAACTGCCTGGCGCGACCTAGGCCCCTAGTTTAGGCCTAGGCATATACAAACTATAATAATAATATTTCAAACATTAGACAAACAATCAACACTATTTTAAATAAAGTGCATTAATTTACATGTTAATTATTAGATCCATGGAACTATCTGGGACCTACTACTACTACTACTACAGGCATTACTAAAATGCCAGTTTATTCGTCGTGGAATGTGGATGTTGCCTTGAAAGCTAGCTCAAATTTGCGCGGAAAATGGCTTGAAAAAATGTGCACAGATCTTAACTTCTGCATAATACATTGGCAATGGTTATATACAGTATTCAGATTAGTTCAAAGACTAATTTTCGGCATTCTTCTCGGAAATATAACCACCCGCCTTAGGCGTGGCCCTGCTTGTTCCATGCTGGATCAAAAACTAGTAGAGGGTCAAATGTCCAGCCATTCTGATGGTCAAAATACAGGGGAATTATTATTACTGTACATTAGAAAAGATTGAGAAACAAGATAGTCTATTATACATATATTGTTTTATCTTCATTTGTAATTTTTATTTTTATA